AGCGAGCAAAAAGCGCGTAATCTGCCAAGTCGATTGAGCTTAGATCGGGCCGGTGCGGTGGACCAATTAACAACCACGCTCAGGTATCACATATGTAGGTCGCTGACAATGACACCGATTTGTGATTGTTTAAAAGGATATTGCAACTAGCTGGTTGTTTATTGTGAATGCGTTATGATTGCAAAACGACCAAACCGGTATTGCATAGATTTACATGAGATATCGAAGTGGTTGCAGATGGAAAAAAACTAAACATATTCACCATATGGAAGGAAGTAAAGGAATTTTTAATAGGACTGATATATTTTTGAAGCTCTGGCAGCCTGGTAGAGAGCTTGGAAATTATGCAAAAGTTTTATGAAAAAAAAATCGTCCTTATCTTCCTGGTCAACGTTCGCTTCGTGAAATTTATGGACACAAGAGTTACACGCTTTCACAGACCACAATTTCGAGTATTCTGCGAAAATACTTCGGTTTGCATCCTTACAAGATTGTGTAGACTCAAAAACTGAAACCACTTTACCACCAAAAAAGTCGTTTGTTGGCAGATTGAAACTGATCCAGAATTTGGAAAACATTAGTGTTTTCGGTTGAAGCACGTTTTTCGTCAAATACTTTCATAAATAAACAAAATTGGAGCGTTTGGCGTGCAAATATTCCAGAAGAGATTCACGAGCCTTTGAATCAAGAAAAAATATTGTTAGGTGTTTTAATGAACCATCTTTTTTCAAACTGAAGCTCTTGTTTTTGTTACTGTGAATGCTGAGCGCTATCGATGGATGTTCACAGATTTTTTCATCAAATTTTGTGAAAAAAGTAAGTCGCATCCAATTCAGCTAATGCAAATATCGCATTATTGGAAGATTGTACCTAAAAGGCCTCCAAGAAGTTGTGATTGGGCTCCTCCCGATTTCTATGTCGGGATATTTGTAAGCCATTGGCCTGTTGTATCAAATCATGGACGTATTGAAATTAAATATTAAACTCCGCATTTGCAGAAATTATAGCCGATTTATTGGACAAAGTCATTGAAAATTAGGCCCATCGAATCTGCTGCTGCAGTCAAAGCCGAGGTGGACATTTGAATGATGTGTGATCCGATACATCAAGAGCATACCTTGTATTCAAAATAAAAAAAAAACTTTTACATTTATCTTAAATATCTTGCATTTTATTTCATTTTAAAAACAAAATGTTCTGATCCTGTTCACAAGGAAAAGTTCTTATCAGCATCACTTTGGAAGCGTTTGGCTACCAGGATTCGCCACCTTCCAAAATGTTGCGTACCTCCAGTAGCCAAATGCGAACATGGAAATTTAATGTTTATTAGTGTGCAAGCTTTTCCTAGAAACTTTAGAAACTAAATATGAATAAACTGCTTTTCACCACCCACTATATAATTGTTTTATTGACTCCAATAGGCGCCGGAGAACGTGGGATCAAAATGTCTTCACCGATAGGCGTCAGTTTTTATCTTTGTGTAATTAACAGGTATTTTTTCGAATACGAATACAAATAACAGACTTGTCGCAAAAATAACAGTAGTACCTAGTATTAAAGCTATGAAATATTTCCCGTATTTCTGTGCAGTATCGAAGCTAACCAGGGCATGATCTAAACACTTATTATATTAACAAAGGAAGGTAACAGATATTTCCATAAATGTAACAAACATTCCGTGAAACCAACACGGTATAAGCAAATAAAAAGGCGTGAAGAAAACAACAAAAGCTACTTCTCAAGCTTAAATGAATGCTTAACTTAAACCTTAAACCTCTTGCCAACATGCTCAATTTATGTCCGCGGGTATAAACGTATTATTCTTAATAAAAAGGCACTGGTGTAGTAGAGAGTGCAGAAGAAGCCTACACAAGTAGGAAGTACAAATTTTCTTTTTAAACTACACCCGAAATTATCGATTCGGAAAATTTTGAGTCAGGCAGCAACGTAATTAAAGGAAAATAAATATATTGTGCAGTCAATGATGAACAATTTGCTAAATGACTTAATAAGACCATCACTAGTTGTTAGTGAATTTAAACGTGAGTTAAACTGGTATTACTAATTGGTTGATCAGGCAAACTTGAAATAATATGTCCAAAGCAGACCGTTTAATCGACAGAGACCTTCTCAGTCTAGTAAATAATTCAGAATCCCGATATAGTGCCATTAAATGCACATGCCATTAAATGCAGTTCCGATTTATTCACCAAAATTCCACTGTACAAAGCGGTTGAAAAAGTTCAATCAAAATTGTTGAAAAAATTCTGCCAAATACATATGTCCAATTCGCAATTGAAACTTTAACTCGGTATTACAAAAATGAGCAATTTTGACTAAGTTAGCTTCAGATTATTTCTTAGGCACAACCCTGTATATATAAAAGTTTACCACATGAGACAAAAGTGTTCAAGTATCAGAAAAATTAGCGGCTGTTGATGAAAGTTTGGCGACTTTTTCAAATAATATTTCACAAAAAACAAGTGTTGCTCTCATTCCACATTCGGACTATGGTTCAACCTGCAAACCGATTGGTCTGTATCATCAACCATCGTTAGAAAAATTTCGGATTTTCTATACTTGTTCAAGATACCTACAGCGCTAGTTAAATGTTCATTAAAGGCGCCATAATAACTGCGACTTCGAGGACTTTTTTATTTTTCCACTTCACTCGTTCTTCCACCTGTGCTATTTGACACCGTCTGGTATCTTCATTACCATCAGAGAGGGTGGCTTTTGAAACCCGCTCTTGTCGGAACTCATCAGTCACAATGTCTGAAGAACCGTCCGAAAATAACCCTCGACTTTTATGCTCAATTTATCATTTTTAATTTCTTTCTAGGCACGTCTAGCGGTGCAAATGTGCGAGAGTTTTTTTTAACGGCCCCATCCATTCCATCGACCGGCCATTCTTCATGTGGCTAATGGGGTTTAAGCAAAAACGTACTCTCCATGGGCAATTTATTAGTTTTTCGCAATTTAAAATTGATTTAAAGAGCTTTCCCAACTATGACAGCATTTTAGTATGGCCTTAGTGTAATCGAGTATCGGCTGTGTTTTACCGAACGTTTTGTCTTCGACAATTATCGACTGTATTTGCAAAATCCATTGTTTGGTTTAAAAATGTTAAATTTTCTATAGATACCCATATTAAGTCTTCAATTTAATTGATTAATAATTTTAGTAAAGTCAATGCGCAATTATATTATGTTAGTGAATATTGAGTGTTTATACATTATATTTTCAGATATAGTGCGCCTTCTTACAGCTTAAAGCATCAGCAATAATTCACTCAAAAAACCCGAAATATATGTATATTTCTTTATGTACAAATTGCGAAATTTGGATTTATAATTCTAAATTAAAATATCTTTCAGTCGTCTGAATATCTCTTCTCATCAGATGAATTATACATTTCATTTATTTTTTATAATTGTCTTGAATTCGCCGATAATTGTGTCATTTTTCCTAAAAATTTTGGAAAAAAAATTATTTTTTTCATTATCTTTAAATTTTGTAAATAATGCCAACGTCGGAATTTCTGAAATGTTCACTATTTTGCTCTATAAATCTGATAAAAAATCTATGTGTTTTTCGTTTATCTATCTGTATCAATTTACTTTTTTCTAGTTGCATTAGTTTGAAATGTAAGTTAACAAACGCGTTAAATCATGAATGTTTAAAATTATAATCTGTTCATATTAAGAAATATTTTTGCAGTTTGTGTCTTGGGTATTGCAAAATGACAATATTTTTCAATGGTGACTGACGCATAAGGGCTGCAAAGCTGCAAATCTCCCGAAAAATATAAAAAACTTTTAAAAAAATTCCGTTTATACAACTGAAACCTTTTTTATGCCTAAAAATCAACATAACACTAAAACATGACATTCGCGTTGTATTAATTGATAAAAAAAAAACTGTAAGCGGAGTGGAAACCATGCAAGTAAAGCCAACCAGTAAAATAAACTACCGCCTCACGCTTCTACTAAATTGTTATTAAATCTGGGTCACAAATCGTGTGCTATGCGCTCCTTCGAACACCCGCGCAACACCCCACATTCCCCTTATCCTGCTGCAGCAAAGTCTTGATGCAAGTGGAAATTTCGCTGCATCTTATCCAGCACCGACAACCATTATTGAGTTGAAAATTCGTATCGGCTGTTGATACTGGCTGACTTTCTAGTTTACCGCGCAGCGAGTTGAACTTACAAATGCCAATTAGCACTATTACACCAATTAAAAACATTCTATTATTGTGTCTGGAAGATTATGTTTTTGTTTATTGCTTATTTGCTGACAATCATTGATTGTGTACTATGGAAATGGTCTTGAATTTAATTAATGGGAAGTTATTTTTACAATAACCGTAAGAAGCAAAAATTGACTTGAAAGAAAATGAAAGACGATAATCTAGAGAGATAAATAGATAATAGAATAATAGAGCAGAGAAACAATCACTAAAGTCGAGTAAAGGCCATACATTATTGAAAAGCAGCAGAATTCGGCTTTCTAAGAAGAAGAAAACCATACTGCTTTTGAATACCGAATAAATAAATACGAAATACTGTGGATAATAAGAAAAACTCACTTTCTGGATTCTTCACCTGGGAGTTTAATTAAGCTCAGAACATGATTACAAAAACCGATGATCGAGTTCGCCGTAATTCACTCAAATAGCCAGATGTTCCATGCAGAACACAAAAAAACAACAAACAAGATCAGCGATTGAAATTTGAAAATAATCTTGTTGGTGTTGAGCCAAACCCCGGATCGTGGGCCGCATCCAAAGGTGATTCAATACGTGAGTGACTAAATCGGAAACTGACACCATATTCATAATCACCAACAACTTTCCAAATTTAATTTAAAAGTATGACAAAATCGGTACTGCGTTCTCGGAACCATGCAGTAAAGTTTGTTTTTGCTATGATGGAACCATTTGTTTATATTAGTCATTGCGGGCGGTTGGTTAATTAACTGAACTTTTCATATTGCAGGATACTAGTTGGGGCGCCAGAGGCTCAATCACAGTACCAATCTTCCAGCGTGCGACTGGGAGGGGTTGTCTACAAGTGCAGAACTGATGGGGACGATCCTTGCCAGGAAATTCCTTTCGATCGGGATGGTAAGTACCAGGAAGCCTTCATCAACTTCACAAGTGCATATTTTATGGCAATAAAAACCAAGCAAATGTTTTTGTTTTCTTGAATGACCTACAGCTACTCGGATTAGAGGAGAATAGCTTCAAAATGTTCGTATGATTCCACTTGATGAGTTCACGATTTGCAGCCGACTTGGCACCTGACCGCAATCGTCCATTTTAAACGATTACCAATCAGGTGACACACAAACGGTGTCTGTTTATGAATGGACGCGTCCAGCGTGGGTTGGTCACCTCGATTTTGAAAAACCGAAAGTAAGGCGAGGCGCCGAGATTACTAAATTGCTTCCTACGTACAGCAATTATCATGATTCCTGCGTTTATTTATTCTCTGGTACCATCGGTAGCATGTACATGTGCACTCGAAGAAAGTAAAAATTCGCTTTGCACTTCATACAGTTTGCAAACGCTGAGACCCAAAGCCGTTCCAAAGTATTAAAAGCTTTCAAACGGATTATAAAGCGCTCATTATTTTTGATGTTGATTGGATATCTTATCGTATTCCGAAACATCGGTATCAATGTTCGTTAAAACGGCTATTTAAAGTCATTAAACATGCCAAAAATGTTTGGGAGAATATTCCTCGAATGTAAGTAAATAAGTTTTTTTGGTCTTTGATGAGAGAAGCAGCTCTTTGAGCGAATTAATCAAGATGAAAATTTTACAACTTGAAGAACGGGTGCAATTTGCACAACCAACTCACTACTGTTACTAAGAAAACGTATTCGAAGAGCTTAGAAAAAACTTGATTTGACCTTTGGTAGCTCTGATTCACTAGACAAGGTATTTCCGCTATTCATAAGGTGGAAATTGTTTTACTACAACAATCTTCCTCTGCAAAGTATTAAGCAACAGCATCATGGAAAAGAAAATAAATTCGAAAATGGACTTAGAGAAATTGCGTTCAATATTTGAGACAAAACCATAACTATAAGGGAATGGAGACGAATATTTCAGTGACGGAAAAGAACATTATCCGAGAGCCAAAGATCTGTTTGTGAAGTAAGATGAGTGTAAGTGAAGCCTTCTAAAAGGGGGTGGGGACAACAGAGTTCATCAGCAACAGCGCAACGAAGCAAAACGAACAATTTTCATAAAATCTACTTTAATGGCTAAGTTAGAAAAAATGACAAAATATGTTACAAGTCTGAAAACACAATTGACCAAAAAATTGCTTTCGAAACGATCTCGAAGTTTGAAATTAGAAATTTTTTTAAACTCATGAACACAAACATCTGCAGGGTGATTTACAACCTTATAGACACAGAGCAGATGCGTGTAGAGGACCTCAAAACAAGTCGAGTTTCCATTTAAGTTTTTTTTTCAGGCCCATGGTTAACAAGATACAAGGTGTTAAAGTTTCCAAAAAATGTTGGTATTTTCTCTTTTACTCCTACAGTTTATGAGATATTTTGGTCAAATTTTTAAAGTAAACTAATGTTTGACCCTTTACGCGTACGTAAGGCGACTAGTTGTGAAAATCTACAGGATGTTCCTATTTATAGAGGCTTTTTTACTACTACCCTTTTTACCCCCCGGACTTTTTCATGCGCCACTGACTTCGACTAAACAAATTTTTGAATTTCTTGTCCAATTTAAGAATTTTCTGATCTCTTACAGTTTCTTCGTATCTGTCCTCGTTTTAGAGTTATTTGCACAAATATAGGTCCATGTAGGGTTCCTGGGTGAATTTTCCACGAATTTTCTTATACTTTTTTTCATCCTTTTGTTCACATTTTTTTGTAAGCCGAGCTCCCGAGCAGACACAACATCAAATATTAATCCAGGTGACATAAAAACTGTACAAGAAAGGTGTGGAGTAAGCAGAAAAATAAATCACATTAAGCAGACAGTGTGATCATCACAGGAATTATTCCAAGACAAGAATGCGCCAAACTTATCCAGAATAATTAAATTAAAAAAATATATAGGTATCAAGCACTTGTAACAGAAGGAAATAAAATAGTTGGATAGAGCTTAGTGAAGAATCAAGATAAGCAGACAATAAAAGACAATCAGAAGCATTTCTACAGTGTGGATAATAAAATTTGTCTGAAAAAAAAATATTGAGAAATAATGTACATTATTCTAAAAGTGGAAACGTAATAGCAGTACAAGGTGTAACAATAAAACGTTGAGAAAAACATTGTCAAGCTCTCCTGGAAGGTAGAGAGGTAAAGAGCAAATCGAGAAATAAGAGTAAAAGTATTTGCAATGAAAAATAATATCGGATCAAAACGAACATACGAGCATTCAAATTTGAAAGCAAAAAGAAAATTCGAACGAATAAATGGAAAAATAAGAGATAGTAACTGAGAAGAGAAGACATGAGCATCTAACTAAACAATAGAAAAAGGGGTTTTACAAAGGTATAAATATGCATGGCAATGAATGATTCAGACTGAAAGTCAATAGGATTCATAAAATATGATCGATAAATGAAGAATATAATAAGAAATAACAGATAAGAAACAGAAAAAGAGTGAAGAACCTTTTGTAAATCGCTTTCAGTACTGCAAAATGCATGCAAAACATCCTGCACAAAACAGTGTTGCTACCTTTAGAGAAAGAAGCATTGAAGGAAGCATTAAATTGTTTTTATCGTCCGAACCTTTATTACTGTTTTTCAAAGTCTACCTAATTCGTTTTATCTCTCGTCGATTTCCATAAAGCCCATAAAAAAGTTATTTTAATTCCTAGCTCGTAATTGGCAAAACTTCAACTTCAGTATTATTTAGCAGTTCACATTTTCCAAACTTTAGCATTTTTAATATACAATTGAAAGGTTTTTCTAAATGTTCACTTTTCTCCGGACAAAATTTTGAAAATGTATGCATGAAAGGAATCTACATGAGATTACGCTCCTTAAGAGAACACAAGGTATTAAATCAATCTTATCTTCCAAATCTTTATCGCGATTTTCAAGTGATTAATGGGGATTTTATGCTATTATCGAAAGGTTTTCTGTACTAGTTAGGTCAAGGGTAACTAGCAAAACATCAACGTTTCGAAAGATATTTATGGAGTATTTCCAATATAAAAAAGATTTATTTAGTAAACGTTTTTATTGTTGTTTTCCTTCATTTCTTGTTGGAATTGTTAGGTAAGAGATAATCCGTAAACTATCAATTACTATTTAGAGGATTTATGACAAATTCGTTTACCAGAATGTTTTTACCGGAGTGGGAAACTTTCTTACACAATCTAACAATTTCAGCATAAAAAAATCCTCTGAACAGGCTGCAACTAACCCAAACCACTGGGTCCAAGATAAGTCGTTAATGTCTACGTGGAGCTGAAAGTCCATCTAACGTTTGCGAATCAAATATTGATTTGTAATAATTAATGTGCTTTCGAAGAATCGAAACTGAAGTAAATATTACATTAGGGGTGAGCCAAGAAATCATTTTTTGCTTTCTTTTGCAAAAAACAGTAGGGATTTGTTACTGATTTTACTTAAATAGTAGTGGGTTGCAAAATAGTGAGTTGCAAAAAGAAAAAGAAAGAGTGCAATGCTTCCCTCATTCATTCGCGAATTACCATCAGGGTTTCAATGTTTGATTAACTTCCTTTGTGGCAACATTTCGCGGTATAAATCTGCAACTGGTCAGAGACGAATGCTTCCAATTCGCAAACATGAGCGTGCGGTTTGCAAAAGGAAAAACGAAAATACCGACACAAAAATCTGATAAATCACATGGCCAACACAACACAGTAAACATATGGTGAAAGCAAATAAACGTTTCCACATTCGTTGCGGTCGTTTTTTTGTTTCGTTCTTAATCCTTTTACCGGACCATCATCGTGTCGGATTGGCCAACCTAATAAATATTCCATGTTTCCTTTACTGGAGTGGAACGTTTTTTCTCATCATATTTCCATACATCTTTAAGTAGATGTTTGACGAGGAATTAATGTTTTTTGTTTCGCAGTAAGAAAACATTATTATGTTGGCCGAAGAGCGCAGAGCACGAAAAGGTTATCAGGCCTATAATCTGGTAAAAAGACACGATCGTTCCATCCAACTGTTTAGTATGCGAGCAGTAGCTGCCCAATAAGAACCATTTTTGCCGTTGACTACAAATTTAATCCCCGACCATAAAATATGCCCTTCTATATATAGAGTAAGCGTGCTGTGCATATCTGCATACAATGAGTCTAAATGGGCTTTATTTTGCGATTGTCAACTATATTCTTGTACTTCTGCTCCCCATACACGACCGTATCACTTGCATGAAACCAGCCATTGAATGTGAGAATAAGTTGCTTATTGCCATCAAGATATTCGTGCTTCTCTGGCAGTAAAAGAGCCAAAGGTGGTCAAAGGTTTCCGATGCTCTTTGACTAGGCATTACTAAAACTCTCCTTTATCACTTTTAACCGCAACGCAAACAACATTCACAATAATACCCCGATCTCATTACCGGAATTATTTTCCGATCATATTGTTCCGCGCAAGAGATAATGGCTGTTATGAAGATATTCTGGTGAGCTGAACCTCAAGACACATGCTATTATCATGCAAATTCGAACGGAATTTGCGGTGGAAGAGAAAATTTCCAATGCCCTGAACCTATAGGGTTTGTAATTAATTCTTTTGAATGCTTCAAGTTTGGTTTCGTCCTGCTGAAGTAAAACGTGGGAGAAAAATGTGGTATTCAAGACTCAACTTGGAGGACGGGGTTGATATAAATGAGAAATACGTTTGCATTATTTCTTCATTATGAGAAGCTTTTTAAAAGATACGTAAGAGCTGTTAAGGGCTTGGCCAATTTGTGACTTTTTCGATTGAATAATATAATTCTTGTAACTAGAAGAATTAGTAAATCTCGCAATGGTTCAACAGAGTGAACTCTTTTAAAGTCTTCAAAACGAAAGACAGGTGCTTGGTTTGGTGGCCTAAAAATTGGTTCTAAAATTTCGCTTATAAAGCGTCTAGATGTGTAACGGAACATTCAGAGGATTAGACATAAAATGGAAAATATTGTTCGAGAGATAGAAAAACATAGAATAGAACCGGTACCTCTGAGGTAAAGAAAAAAGGACACTGAATCTAAAAAAAATTATACACCTATACACTAGACTAGAGTTAGTAAGACCAAACATGCAAAAATGAAAGTCTCAATACTTATACTGGAAAAATACAGAAAGCATGTATCCAATTGGAAGCAGTAAACTAGATAATTCTAAAAATCAATTGCTTCAAATTATGAATGAATATTTTAGACATTAAAGAAAAAACTACCAGAAATCAAAACTCATTTTTTAATATTTCTTAATTTTAAGATTTCTTAATACTGAAACAAAAGCCCAGTAGATAAGAGATTTTTGAGGACTCGAAAGAAATACACCAAGCAGCGAAAAAAACATTAGGTATAAGAGGAAGTAGACATAGAAAGAGGCATTATTGGGGAGCTACATGAAATGAAAGCGCAAAAGCAAAAGTTATACCACATATGATTGAATACGAAAGAACCAACCACTACAGTAATAATCTACAGTTCTAAGATTAAATCTGCAGTAATACAAGCATAAAATCAAGACTGGGAAGAGAATTGCTAGGAGCTGGATACATCTATTGGTGGAAGAGAATCCGGACGTTTATAAGAAACATGAGATCCAACAAAAATGAACAATAATCTAAACTCCATAGACCCTGAAAAATTGGAAAAACACTATCAAGAATAACTTGTGGAAAAAGATCTGAATACAATACTTCCACCAGCACGAAGTACTGATTTAAGGGGAGCCAGTAATAATTGACTTAGAAGCTATTAAACTCATATCATTATTAAAAATGGTCGCGTCGCAGTTCTAGAAGGAAAATATACAGAACTAATAAAAAATTGAGCAATTGAATTTTGGAAAGCTTTCAGCAGATATTTAGAGGGAAAATCGCTACCGCAAAGTTATAAAGAAGGCTAGATAACGTAACTGTAACACTTACCAGGCTATAGGGACGACTCGTCCCGGACCATAGATTAACTAAGTCCCGGACGAGCTATAAAAGAACGTATATGCGAAAAATATCGCCCTTTTGAATCGGAAGATCAAAACGGCTCAAGAGCAGGGCAATCAACAATAGATAGTACTTCTGTCCAACACAATTAATTGAAAAATTAATGATGCGATCTCAAGAAATAGATCTACTCCTTGTTGACCTTAGAAAAAAATAAGAAATCTCTATAAACGTTACACTAATCGACGACATGAAAGATTTATATAGCAACACAACATCTAGAACAAAAATAGGCAAAAATATCTAACGGATTCAAGGTGACTATACAGATTCTTCAGAGTATAGGTCTAGAAAGCTTACAGAAGACTATAAAAAATGTCGACTAGAGGTAAATATAAACAGCAGATGACCTGGATATAGAAGATCAAAAAATAAAAAAGAGTGATGAACGCGTATATCTAGGAATAAAAACATAGGCCGAACTGGTGAAGCTATAAACGCGACAAACAAGTTGTGAGGGCACTGAATGGCTCAACATGAATGTATGGCAGAAAACATAGAAGCTCAGAAGTGTCACAAATAACACACAAGACCTAAGGACAATCTACGGGCAGTTGAAATGGATTTTTGGATGATCGACGAGAAAAGATTCTCATATCTTCGTCTGGACGCGGCTCTAATGCTGCTGCAACGATTTTAATGTAGGTGCGCTAACGTTGCAGAAGCGAACCGAAGCGAACGTTTTAGAACTCTTTGGCGAGAATATTTTTTTACAGATCGTAGCGCAAATCCGCCGAAAGCAAGACTTTCAAAAAATAAAGTAAGCTTCAATCTTCCGCCTTAAAATTTCACGAATATGGTGATTAGTTTTTTTTATATTTGCGCTTTGCTTCTATTCTGTTAGTGTAGTTGGCTTGAAAAACGGTTCGTTTCACTTCAGCTCAATCAGCGCACTTCCATTAGAATATATGTCATAATTCATATTTCGACGACTTCCCTTAACGGCGCTTCTCTTCGGTTGGAAGCTCGAATTTAGGTCATTAAATATCAACATCCTCTGCCATAAAATTGATTGATATATTCGCTACTAAGGACGAAAATTCTTTGTCAAATTTTCGGTTAACTTTGATTTTCTTTTTCAGGAAATCAGTATATGGCCGGAAAGCAAATGGACCAAAAGAGCGACCAATGGTTCGGAGCCACTCTAAGCACGTCGGGCGCATTGGGAGGACCTATAGTGGTAAGTGGAGGAACAGTTTCTTCAGCAAATAACTCGAAAAGCACTTTGCGCTGGAATTTTCACGACACCTTGATCTTTGGAGAATTACGGGCATCTTAAGTGAAGCCGACAAGACATTCCACGGGCTCAACATGTCGGAAGATACCGGGGCGGCGCAAGGAACGCAAAACACGCACTTATAGGATTTCAGTGCGTCAATCGCTAAGGATGATTTCCGATTGTTGCAATGAAACTCCCGTCTCTTTAGCATGATTAATGTTATCGGTCTGTTTAGCTTCCGCTCACAGTTGCATGCTAATCGGGAGCAGCCAAATTACATTTTAATGGGTTGTCATTTGTTCTGTTTCGATTTGCCGATACACAGTGTCTCAACTATAGCGATAACAATCAAACGGTTACCAATATTTTATTGCTTTAAATAAAACCAACTGGAAGCAAACTCTACTATTTTGAATGGGTTTCTTATTCAATAACTAATCAGTAACCAGATAAAGAAGGCTTTAGGAACCTATGGAAAAAAGCTCGCAATTGTTATGCGCCAAATATATTTTTTTATCCAATACGGGCTCATCCGAAAATCAGTTGGAAAATGGAAGCTCTTACTTTTTGTTTAAATTTTTACTTCCGCATTGAATTCTATGTCTGATTCAGCTAATATGTGCTATGCTTAAACTCAACAGAACCGAAAAATTTTTGAACAGATTGTAACTATCTGGATTAGAAATTTCTGTAGTTCTGAAAAGGACCTATTTATTCCAAGAAGCAGAACAGCAATCAAATTAAATGTTTAAAATGTGAACGATTTACGGCTGGCAAAATCCAATACGCTCAATAAACTCTTCTTGTACTTTGTTCTATCACCAAACCCAACAAATCAGAAAATTTCCATTTTTTCTCGTTCTGTCAAAAAATGCAATGTTGAATTTTAAATTTTAAATAAATGTGGACTCATTTTCCCCATAACGACTCTGAATTGAGACATTTTGTTGCGAACGGAAGGGAAATTAAGGAAACAGTTTAGAATCGCCTACTTAAAAAACATTTTCAATATTTGGAGTGCCTTGGTTTATTGAGATTTGTTGGGGTCACCCGGTATGGCCCCAACCATAATTCCATATGCAATTTACGTAGGAAACTTGCTTGCCAAGTACATGTAAATAATCTAACAGCAACATTCCTAGTCAAGGTCCTTATTTTGTAATTGCGGGCATTAAGAGGAGAGCTTTCTAATTGAAAAATGACCCTCCGCGGATAAATTGGATAATTCCTATAATTGGCCTTTAGTTATATATAGAAAATGTATAATGCGCGGTTTGATGTCTTCGAGAGCTGAAGAAGCTGAAGAGTACAAAGCCCACACTGAAATACTGAAAATCCTTCGTTTTACTGTTATGGTTTATTTTCCTTTTTCACAGCTTCCACCTTAAATAGGTCGCGTCTATTTCAAGCAGAAGTCATCATACTTATTGAAACAATATACGGAAAATAGAATGATTAAATATGTTGTTAGCGATTAGGAATCAATGAGCTTCTTGTTTCACTGGTTATCACAATAAGAAATGTAATTTTTCTAATTGGAACGGAAGCCATAAATATCAATTAGTTTCCTTAAAAAAGCGAATTCTGATAACGGACTTCGTAAGCCAATTGATTCCGGATTTTAATCGAAAATCTATGTCAATATCAATAGACGACAAGAAGAAGTTACTAGGTTTTGAATTAAAACTGATAATTATTAACGAAAGTGATACACAAACATTTTTCAACATGTAAATATTTTCTCAATTGGTAATTCGATTTGAACATTTGTTTATCGAATCATATTGTTGGACAAAATTGAAATGATAAAAAAAGAAAAAATGCAATAAACGTATTGTACAGTGTTTGAATAATGTCATTTTTTCTCGATCAAAGTTTGAATGCGTGTGCGAGCAATATCGGGTAGCTCAGACAGGAAAAAGAAAACGGTGTTTTAGCCTCATGTCTTCTGAGTATTTTGGCTCTTTAATCAGGTGCTTTAAGGCTTCGTATATTGTGTTACGTATGTACTTAGCTCCATACAGAAACAAAACAGTATTCTTAGGTGTTAAAACAAGAATACTTTGTCCTTATGAAAACAAAAACCTTAACAACTTAATTGACAGGGGACAAAAAGTGGCAAAATAAACATAGTTTTCTTTAGAAATAAATTTCACGCGCGAAATGTGATCGGTCGTAAAAATGAATCTCTCGAATGGCTCAGGATAAACATAAGACAAGAGGGTCTCGATTACCTTATAATGAATGACCTCAGAAAGATTTCAACTTTGACCAAGAAAACATGACAGTATTTAAACACCATGTTCAAAACTTATTTTTTTTGTTGTTTTATGATTTCATAAAAAGATTGAGAAAACATTCACAATTTTTAAGCTATGAGATAAATTTTGTGGCGCAACGTATAAAACGAAAATAATATAAACCCGAAATATGCCGAAGAATCAATGAAGGATTTACTACTAATTCATATTGCCTGAATGTATGAAGATTTTTGTCGAAAAAGAGTCAATTTCAAATCCAAAAAATCATTACATTGCTCTAACTTTTCATAGAAGAAATGCTCTGAAAGTAGAAGTAAATTTCGAACAATTAAACTAAATTTCTATATCTGAATGGACACAATTCCACCACAGATAATAATTTGAAGAACTGGCTGGTTGAACTGATTGTTCTTGTTTTGACCCGCGTTTTTGAATGGATTCTATAAACAGTTCTCATATCGCATCAATGTCTTATCTTTGAGAAGCCCCGTTAGGTCTCATGGATAATACCGTGCAGATAAAAATACGTATTTACAAAGAAACGCATGATTTCGAGCTGAGAAAACAAAGAATTGGCGTGGCTGCGGCGCATTTTTCGGCTCGAAAACCGATAAACGGCTCGGCCGGGTCGTCACGGATCAACATGTGCAACCAAGATGGCCGACGATGATACCACTTTGTGAAGAAGTGATCGAAACGGTGAGAAAACCGTTGTCGGAGGTGTTAAAACGTGAAATGCAACTTTCCATACGGGAAAAGTCGCCCAAGCCAGAGCTTCGGTTTCGGATGTCGTGGAGACTATTTCTGGAACGACCGTCTACCAGAAATAACCTGCCTCTCGTTAAGTCCCCCAATGCCGTCGCTTGCGAAACTCGCAGCAAGGATTTTTACTTCAAAGACCGGATTGCTCATTCAGACCGAAACGCTTTCTGTCTAGATTATTTCAACAATTCAAATAAAATAAAAACTGCCCCTAATCGGACAATCATCTGCTGAGTGAAATGCGTTATTTCGTCTTTCCTTGCTCTCCTCCAAAGTATAAGTTTTATATAAATATCCTTTTTTGGAATGAAATTCATTGCTGGCGCTTCACAACCGAAAGAGCCAAACTGGAGCAATCTGACAAAGAAACAGATTCCAAATGGCTCTAAACTGGAACACCTAATCGTTGGCATCCAAAAATAACGTTAAAATAAATGCTTATAAGGACAGGGACCATCAGCAGATCACTCATCTATAATTCAATCAGGGGCGGAGTCAAGTTTTCAAGTCAAGGTTAGAATGCGAAATTTGAATATCAAACACTTAGGTGTAAGATTACGCCAAAATTTGATGTTTTGCCTCCCGTTTTTGCTCATTTCTCGGAAGCAAAATCCACAAGAACGCTCATTTTTACATCGTTCGAGAGACATATAAATGGCCTTTTGAGAAAGTGGAAAAGTAAGAGAGGTGAGGAAGAGTAAAAGTAAATAAAAAATTAAAAGTAAGATGTTTGAGTTAATTAGAAGTTTTTTTTGAGCTGGAAAATTGAATTAAACATGACACTGCATTTTTCGACGTTTCTGAAGACCCATTAGAGCCACGGAATTCGTTCTGGCCTCATTGGAAAGAGACTTGAAAATTCCATATCCACATGAGTGAGGAAATTCGAGTAGTTTGGACCCAAAAAGCGAGAAAGAGGAACAAGATTAAAACCACTGGATCTAAAGATACACAGAAGATGTGATCAGTTTTGCGTGCAAAAATATAAGTAATGTTCCAATTGATTTGGGCATTAATGGACTTCCACCACAAAACACGATAATTTAGAATGGAAGAATGCTTAAATGGAGGATTTACAAACAACCAAATTGTTGTGTTTCAATTCGTCATCAATTGTACTCTGTTTCTCTTCGCAATTTCTTCATAAATTCAATATTTGTGTTTAATTTACCGAATAATTCCTATAAATTTGAATTAGTTAGCTAGAAATCTTAGTAGGTTTGACTTTCTCTTGATATCTTCACAGTGTGTGTAAGTGAAGGTTAATATTATGTATTGTTGTTTTGTTTACCTTCAACTTGATTTGTCTCAATTCTGAGGTTTGGTTGCTTATTTTTCTTAATTGCACTTGCAGCTATTCTTGTTGAGGCAAAAAATGTTAATGAACAAATGTATGCGAAAATAACATAAAATTAAAAAGAGGAAACGAGCAAGGAAGTAACTGAGCTTTAAAGAATACATATGGAGAGAAATGGAAATATGGCAATGGATTGGATACAGTATGTCTACATTGCTAGAATAATTCCGGAGTTAGTTTAAATATGAGCTGTTAATTGCAGCAATAGAACCGAAGAAAAAAAAACTATTAAAAATATAAATATTCAATCGCAAGTGAAGTTGAAGAAGTATAGATATAAGGAGAGATCTCACAAAGTAATGCAGATGTTGCAGCTCTAAAAATTCTACTGGGAAAGAAAAGTAGTCAAAGATATTGTGAACACAACTCGAATCGAAGATATGGCATAATTTAAAAGAATGTTGAAAGAAGGGTAATAAACACAACTGGAAGCAGCAAAAGAGTTAACGTTTGGCAACCATCGCTTAAAGTTGGCAATTTTTTCGGATTTTCTAAATTAATGAATTTTCATTCCGAACTAATTGTTTAATTAGTTCCTGAAATTTGTAATTTTAGTTTCCTTTGCAATCATTTCAGAAAAAAGTATTTTTCACTACAACCAAAATAATCGAAAAACTGACTAGTTGCATACTCCACATCAGAGTTAGAGAGAATAATATTTTGTACGACATTTTCAATGAAGCAAATAAAATTAAAAAAAAAAAGCGAAGAAAAAAGTTATTGGTCCCTAACTTTCATGTTCCTTCTCTCTACAAAAGGCGTTTCTGAAAGTGCAAGAAACAAAAATGGATGGCAACAAAAGAGGAAAAACAGGAAGCAAAACCGACCTAAACAGCTTGAATCACACACACACAAGAGTGGCTTGCATCTTCAGAGGTGGTTGGCTCGAAAGCTTGCACTAGGCTGAACACAGTGCACAGTCCAGGTTTTTGGCACTAGAAGCTTTTTTATACAAGAATATAAACAATATAAAACGGATAAATAGTAATCACGTGGGCCATAATCAAGCAATAAATTGAGCTTATAGAGAGATTGGGTGAGTACTTCGAGGAACTACCTCTTGTGGAGAACGCTGGCAAAGTTGAAGAATGCTGCTAAGGAGAGCCCAAAGAAATTGGGCAAACATAAGAAATAACAACGAAGAGAATGAATATGGTGGAAGTTAGAGAAGCGGTTCAAATGACTGAAAACAGAGAACTCAGCAGATGCTACAGAACTTGAGTAACTTTGGTATAAAAATGCTAACCGAACTGAACATGAAAATATGGAAAGCAAAAAAGTAGGTACTTCAAGCGTGGAAAGTTGGCAAAACTCACCATATTAGAAAGGAAAGATAGAACAAGATGTAGCCATTACAACAAGATATACAACTATAAAAAGATAACTGAGAAAAATAATGCGAACCAATTGGAAGGATTGCAAATTGGTGTCAAGAAATTAAAATAACAAAAATGAACTGTTCAAATCGCCTTTGACATTGTCCGGATAAATTTAATTTGAAAAATGTTGCGACTCACAGAGAAGGTAAAAGAGAACATAGAAAACATTTACAAAACGGAAAATGAGGTTTAACAGCCCAAAGAACAAACTGAGGACGTGGTAAGGAAGGTTCAATATATGAGTGATTTCCTGGGTACGTATTAATAATAATAGATGATAGAGTAAAAGACACGAAGTCAAAAGTTAGACAAATACAAGTAGAAGGGAGAAATGTGGAAATGATCGATATATCTGAGCGTATGTGGAGCCGTTTATTGTTGATTCCTAGTAACGAAACAGAGCTTAAACATAACATAACTAACCTAAAGCGGCAGGGAAAGAGGTTTTAAGAGCTTGAAACATGAATATGAACACATATAGCTATAAACTCATGATAATGATGGGTAGGACAACAAGAGTAAATTTTGAAAAAGTCACAAACAAGATGAAGTAACTGCTGAAAAGTTTTAAATACTTCAGTTAAGAATGCTTCAGAGTAATGCAGTTAAAACTATGAAAATATAGGCTCCAGAAACAAACTACAGGACTAGAGCGGTAGATAATTTTTTTTACTCTGGACAGACGTTTTATAGATAAAGAGCGAACACAAGAATAAATTTTCAGTAAAAGTAAGTTACAGAAACTGCATATGAAATACCAGAGAGATTGGGTCGAACTAAATAGACGCAATGATACTGTGCACAGTTTGTCAAGAGTAATTTTTCCTTGTAATAGCGCGAAAGATGTAGAAGAAGACGGTAGATCGGTTATATGGTGGAAGTGTGTGTAAATTCTATACATTTCAAGCTACGCAAGAAGTTTTAAAAAGGTCTAGAGAACCAATCAACTTTTGAAAAAACTAAAGTAGAAAGATAAATGGGAATCAGATACTCATTGGGCAACTCAACGGATCAAGTGTAATTTTCGTGACATGAGTTCATCATTAAGCGATTTTTGTAGGATATTTATAAAATTTCAAACACAAATACTATCAAAATTCATGCAATTTTAGTCAAAAGTTAAAGCCCTCCTGATAAAAAATCTCATAGTCCGCTCTCAATTATTTGCTTAAAAATGTGATTCATCAAGCGCCCAACAAATACCCTAACGTATATTCTCACTAAAATAATGAAATTTTTTGCAAAAACACTTGAACATAAAAATAAATATGTGTTTTTTTGCAGGCTTGTGCCCCCCGATACGTTTGGTACAGCAAGGAAATGAACCGAAGAGATCCTGTGGGAACTTGCTTTGTTGCCGACTCTTCGTTCGAAACGTTTGAGGAATATTCGCCTTGCAGAACCAGTAAGTTAACGAATCCCCATAGCCAGACAGGTTTTCGCATTAGCATACTTAGCCCCTATTTCACTCAAAGCGTTCTCGAGAAAAAGTAGCAGACAATTGAACAATAACGAGCCGATAGAGGACACTTTGAACAGCCTAAAAGCTTCTCATGGCATTCGTTGCAGGCTCGTTAAGCGCTATAAGTGGGTTTTTATTTTAAGATAAGTACCCAACCACCCCTTCGGAGGCTTAAGTGAAGCAATTTATGTTTCATCGGCCGGGGTCTGTTCAGTATCTGAGGCAGATGGACTGCGAGTCAATGAAAAAGGAGTTACAGAAATCCTGCGGATCCCGAAATAACTTTCCAAACGTAAACAGTTCGAGATCAAAAGGGATAAAGCCTGTTTACTTTTCGGGATATGTTTTTTCAGCAAAGGGAAGTCGTTAATTAGCTTGACTTGGATAGGGAGTTGCTTTCAGACAAGTCCGGCTATGGAACTTTGGCTCAAATATACTCGAGGCTTTATTTCGTTTACTTTGACGATCAACAAGTTTCTCGACAGCATACACTGTAACCTTGCATAAAAACACTTTAAGTACTCGTCGAATATTTACGATTCGAGTTGAGCCTTTCATTTAGCACCGTTTAACGACGATTTTACGAAATTTAGTGCGTGCACGTGCGACTTACATCTGCATACCAGATGCATCGCACATCCGCATCTCATAAACCGGGAACCCTGTGGCACTTTCTTCGGCCCTTTCCTGTCCGGCCCCAAGAATGGACAAGATGTGGAAGCTTTCAAACGAATCTTTCATCAAATTTTTCACAAAAAAAGTTGACTCCCATATTTTAAGCATTTGGAATCAGTCTCACCAGTGCTAAACATGTAGGATATTAATTGTGGCGTTTTTTCAGGCAATTGGGGGTACCATCGACAAGGATCTTGCCAAGCTGGTTTTAGTGCTGCCATCAATTCCGTAAGTAGAAAAATAAGAGACCGTGATTGAAAATAACCGCTGCTTCTTGTGGGGACTCAAATTCACTTGAAGAGCACCCAAAAAACAAAGGCAACAGATAGTTTTTGCAGACTTAACAGTTGAAGGTTCAAGTGCAACTAGGGACCTATTATTTGGATCAATACTAGAAGGTTTGCATGCACTTAAGGATTAAAATATCCTTGCTTGCACTACTTAATCAATGGATAGTTGGAGACGCAACTTTTAATAGAAGAGTTGCAAAAATTTCCGCAAACTATCACTTGATAATGCTTCACTTCTTAACTTTTTCGCTGAGCTTCAGTTAAACATTTCCGCTTTAGTCCAAGATGCATACTCGTAATGCTGTATGTTTATTACCTCTTTTGCCAGATCTGCATTGCTCCCAGTTCAACTTCTGCTTTTAGTTATTTAAATCCTTCAAATTGGAACTTTTAAAAAGCTTTTAATATTAATTTTGAACCATAGTCAATTACGGGAAAGGCTTTTTTAGGAAATTAGCACTTCCAACGTCCACAGGCATTCATACAATAATTTATGAGAGCTTAGTCTTGAAACCATCATCAATAAATCTTTGCTCACTGTTAGATGACTGGCTGCTCCTGCAACTTTTGCTGATTTATCTGCAGAAGCAGCAGTTATTTACGAAAAATTAATAGAACATCCTGATCAGGTACCAAATTGATGCCATCGCCAACTTAGAATCCACTTTTTTGCAGACTTCTGAGCTTAGTTGACACCAACGTTTTTTTTACATATCTATAGAGTTCCGAAAGAAATTTGAAAACACCTTGAACTTAAAAGACATGTTTTCTCATAGATTCATGAACATCTTCTTCAAGCTCCGTGTCTGGCAGGCTAAAATTCGCAAAAATTTGCTGACCTCCCCCTGATCCCAAAACATCAGACATCATTCTTCAGGCATTTCACGGCTCAATAAAAAATTGCGCGTCTCTTTTATTGTATCGTTCGGCATAAAATCCGCATGAAAAGCGGTGACACATTTTTACAAAATACTTTACAAATCTTGATGGGAATGTGCGACGGCGACCGCTTCCATTTTTGGGATGGTACCACATGCATAAATGTATTACACATTCTTCCACGCATGGTATATTATTTGTTTCTTATTCTTTGTAATGCACCACTTTGATGCAATGACAGCGATCCAGCCGGGTACACGAATCGTAAACATGTCGACCTTTTCAAGAAGAAGAACAGCACTTTAAGTGGCCTTAATCGATCGCATATAAGCTGTTAGTTAACCGGGAAAATCTGGGATTTACCTACTAGAAGTCAGTAGTAGCGATGTTCAATGAGGTACCAATCGATTACGGTACCGCAGCTAGCTACATCACCGGTACGATACCATTTCTCAAAGAATGAAAGCCAGGAAAGCATTACGATGGAAATGACAAATCGCTATTGCCTAACTAGTTCTTGTATCTTTGCCATTTAAAAGCTAAACACCGACGAACTGTAATGTTTCTCTAGATCTATCGCGATAAGATACCGTGGACTGGAAGGTACTGGCCATTGAATTTCAAATTCTTTATATGAACATTTTCTGCGCTTGGGTGTATCGAGAGAAAATGTGTACGTACCTGCTACAAGGTAACGTGAAGATCAGAAGACAAGTTTAAACGTTTCATGTATTGGAGCATGGTTTTTTACTGTTTGCTAATTGGATTTGTTAATAAGCCCACTGTTATGAGCAAATGCATCAGTAACATCATCAATAACTAATTAAGCCGCCCTAGACGATATGCGCGCATGAGTAGAACATGAATGAGTTCAGGCGCAAAAAATAGTTTTTAGTTAAGTTATCTAGATTTTCTTCAAAGAAAAATTATTCAAAGATTCATTTATTTTGATCCTCTGCAGATAAATATTTAGTAAAAGGCGAAAGATTTATTCGCTTTGAAGAGAGCCCATGAATATGAAATATTGATAAATTTCAAATATTTCAATATGTATTTAACGCGATGTATTTTCGTAAGGAACATCGGTTCATTAAGCACCCGTTATTCACGTAAGTATGACTCACCTTTTACGTTATAACTATTAACTTAACCATACAGAGTGTCCTGAAATAAATACAAGATTCGGTTGGAGATTTTTAAGGTAAAAGCTCATTTTTGCTCTTTGCTGCTGTCTTTCTTTTAGGGAGAAACCAGCTTAGGCCAACTTTTTAAGGTTTAAGAATAGTATTTTGTTTATTTCATTGAACGCTGTTCAATATTGTAACTTTAGTCTAAACTAACCCTAAGGTTGAAGAACTTTTGTAGGCTTTGTTTCCTCATGTCTTGTGTAAATTGGACCCGGTTTGCATCAAATCTGAGTTGATGACTTGAACCCATTAGCTTAAGTCTAATTTCATTGAGCAAGAGTATTATCTGCATTTTTTTTATAGAAAAATCGATTTTTGACTGGACACTGCCACTTCAAATTCAAAATATTTATTTTAAATCCGAAATTGATTTTGAAAAACTCAAATGTTTTTTCCAAAAATCAAATTAACACTCAAAAATCCGACTTTAAGTTTGATGAAAATATATATTGATGAATATTACATTCTCATTAACATTTCTAATTCAAACTCCAAATGTGGTTTAAATCTTCATTTTTTCACTCCAAATTCAAGATGTCTTTGACCTACAAAGTTTTCGAATATTAGATGAAAAGTTCAACAGTTCGAGCAAACTTTTAACTAAAAAATGTACTTTTCCTGAGTTTGTAACGTTAAATCTGAATAAAGACTCATGGATGCCGAGACCGACGATTCAACAGCGATTCTATTTGAAAACTGTTTATTTTATAACGAATTTAGTCGTAATAATTTTGAGACCGATATTTACTAAGCTGTATAAATCACGATTCGCGACTACTTTAAGGAAACTAGCACATTCTATAGAGTGAAGTGTCTTCTAACGATGCTGAAAATTGCAAACTGCTACTTGGGTTGGTTAGAAAGTTGGGTATTTTTAAAGGAGAGAGCGCAATKGAGTAAAAACATTTGTTATCGGCCGGATATTTASCAATTTGCAACCCTTATTTACCAAGTTGGCAAAAATTAGGAKTTTGGGCGATTTTTATAAAACTTGCAGGATCTTTARAGTCAGGATGTCGTCTAACGATGGTGAACATTCCAAATTGCTACTAGCTTTAGTTTGAAAAWTTTAAATTAAAAAAAAATAAAGCGCAATGRAGTTGCTACATGAGGAGATTTACTCACTTTGCAACTCACATTTACAAAGYTGTAAAAARATCAGGAGCTTGGACGAAACTTTCGGAGTCTTTAGAGTWAAGKGWCTCTTAAAGATGGCGAGAATTTAAAATTCCRAGTTGCTTTAGTTTGAGAAGTACGATTTTTTAAARGGGAAAGCGAAGTGGAATAAAATAATTTGTTACAAACCGGAGACTAATTTTGAAACCCAYATTTACCAAGCTGGSAAAAATTTGGAGCCTTGGCGATTTTTAGTAAACTTTTGAAATCTRTAGAGTCAAGTGTCTTCTAAAAATTGTRAAAATTTAAAATTGCTACTAACTTTAGTACTAACTACAATAGTTTGGAATGTGCGATTTTTTGAAAAGGGAAAGCGCAGTGAATAAAAACATTTGGTACGAACCGGATACTTACTAATTTTAAAACCCATATGTACCAAGCTGRCAAAAATTTGGARCCTGGGCAATTTTTAGTAAACTTTGGAAATCTGTAGAGTCAAGTGTCTTCTAAAAATGGTGAAAMTTTCAAATTGCTACTAGTTTTAGTTTGRAATGTGCGATTTTTCGAAAAGGGAAAGCGCAGTGAATAAAAACATTTGKTACGAACCGGATACTTACTAATTTTAAAACCCATATGCACCAAGCTGGAAAAATTCTGCAGCTTTGGCGATTTTGATGAAACTTTGAGGATCTTTAGAGTCAAGAGTCTCCTAAAATTGGTGAAAACTACAAAATGCCATTTGCTTTAGTTTGAACAGTGCAATAGAAACGTTTGTTATGGGTCAGAGATTTACGCAATTAGCAACCCATATTTACTAAGCTAGGAAAAATCAGGAACTGGGGCGATTTTTACGAAACTTTCGGGATCTTTAGAGTCAAGTGTATCTAAAAGATGGTGAGAATTTAMAGTTCCGAGTTGCTTTAGTCTCAGAAGTGCGATTTTTCAAAAGGGAAAGAGCAGTGGAATAAAATAGTTTGTTACAAACCGGAGAGTAATTTTGAAACCAATATTTACCAAGCTGAAAAATATTTGAAGCCATGGCCATTTTTAAGAAACTTTCGGGATCAATACAGTCAAGTGTCTTCTATTGAAAAGTGCGAAACAACAGTGGAGTAAATACATTTGTTACGAGCGGGCTATTTACTAATTTTGCACACCAATTTTTACCGAGCAGGCAAAAATCAGGACTTCAGGATCGATTTTTAAGCGAAAAATAGTTGGCTTTTGTATAGTTTAGGCACTGTTTTGATAGCAACCTGTTACTTTAACTGTTAGCAGCTTTAATGGCTTAAATATGAGATAACTTTTTCGTTTATATCAAAGTCCATCTAGAATGCACCAGCATTCCTCCAGACCCTGCCTGTTAGCAATGCCATAACTAATAATTTTATAAGAGAAAAAGCCGACGCAAAACGGCTCTGACAGTTTCAATCTAGAATTCTGCGGCTCTCTAATGGAGAATGCGTGTATTTCACGGCGGAAAGATGAATTTCTTCCTAATAAACTCAAATACCGTGAAGAAATTATGACCGAATGCTATCATACGATTTATTAAATTATTGCAAGCCGCGCGCGGATTCTCTCTTCCGCATCGAATACGTTAAAGGTATCTGGTTTCGAAGACCATTTGGTCGAAAGGAAAACATGAGATCCCATAAAGCTATTGGCTTTCGTTTCAAATGGCAAAAAGTCCAGAATCCGTTTGTCAATCATGAGAAATCATGTAAACTATTGGAAAAATACTGGGTGTGCCCTACAAATGCTGCCTCAAAGGACAATAGTGGATGTTATGGATAGATTGTCAATAGAGCGACTAAACCATCTGCTAAATTAGGCGTATTGATATCGAAACATCATCATCATCCATCTTGGTTCGAATAGGCCAAGAAGAAAAAACGCTTCAACCTTAATGATTATTTTGACAAGGCGATATTCAGCCCGTTCAGGTATTAAAACTAACACCTTATACGTCCGTAATTAGGCTCGGCCTTTTTGATTCATCACTTAGGCAAAGTTACACAACCGGCGCTCTTTAAGGCCTTATCGGAACTCATGTCCGTGACTGGCACTATTCGATTACTGTTACAGCTCACTTAAGAATTTTGGAAGTGAGCGTGTCTTTTTCAACTCCTGCAATCAGACCTGATTTTTTTCGTGGGAGGCACAAACCGTCTTCAGCAGAACCAAGATCAACAACGCGTTTTTCTCTTGGGAAGCGATTTGATGAATGAAAGAAACCAAATGAGCTTCAAGTGATTGTTTGGACACCAGGTTTAACATCGCAAATCAGATCTGTCGTTCTATTTGTCCAGCGCCACGTTAAGTCACACCAAATTAATCGTTGGCGGCTGGAGAATGAGAGGAAAAAAAACGCAAAAGCTCGCGGTTCTCCAAATAACAGGGCACTAATGGGCAGAAGGAGCCAGCGGGCGGTCCATCGGCCTGTTAACCAGCTGTTAACATGCGCCGACAAAACGACCATCCATCAAAATGTGCAACTTATGGGCTCGTCGATTTACAGCTTTTACTCATTAGGATTAGTGCATACCCGGAATATACTGGGTGTGTGCTTTTTCTAGACCTTATTCGTGCCTGTAGCTATAACTGGCGTCACTGCAATAAAAGGGCATGGTCAGATCCGACGCGATTTGCATAAATTCCTATTGTTGCAAGAATGTCGGTGCCATTGTTGTAGGTTTTGAGTTGCCAGAGGAATTGGTGGTTTGCGTTCCCATTGACTTCCATCCACCCACAGATTATTGCTCTCATGATTTTTCAAACCCTAAAGCTTCTACCGTTTTCTTAGGAAGGTGTAGATAAGCCACATTTTTTTTGCTTGGCAATTACTTGGAAATTATAGACTTCTCACAATGAACTTTTGAAAATGATCATCAATATTTGCATTTCTAATTCATCTTTGGAAAAAATTTCGGGATTTTTCCTTTATTCCCCTCCATCTATAGCGTAGGAAGTTTGCAACAAAGGTTCGGGAAAAGATGGAGTTCAAATTCCGAAAAATCACTCCAGACTTTTTTACGGTCAATGAGAAAATTCGAGTTTGATTTCGAAATGTTTACACAAACACGAAATTGTTACTCTGTTGAGTACAGTCAGGCAGCAGAATTTCGATTTTTCAAGTTGGAAACTTTCAGATCGACTTTGCACCTCACAACTTCATAAGAAAATGCAGTACAAAAAAGGTTTTTCTTTGCCTTCGAATATTCTTATTAAGTTCCATTTAATTTGCCTGAGGCAAGTCAAAATCGCAAAATTTTAACCCAAAGCTATCAGCTCTAAATTTAAATTTTCGACTTTGATCTCCGATATATTGGCTTTAAAATCAACTCTCTTAAATTTCGTCTGAACATTCTTGCTTCGCTCGCTGCGTTCGCTGGTCCTACAAAATCGTACACAAAAAATGAATCATTTGGATCTTTAAACATCATGGTTTGTCGAGTTTGAAAAGAATACGTCGAAATTGGGACCTGAAAATTAACATTTTCTTTTCTAAAATATCGAGTTAATTATGAAAACATCGTTCTTGAACTGGATGGTCTTACTTGAAACCCGAAACACTTCTACTCAAACAAGTCTAAAATGTAGGCCAAACGTGTAAATGTCTGCCATAAACCCACAACGTTAAGATGAAACTTGAAAGTATCAATATCCAGTTTGAAATTTTGGGTCCGAAGTATTTTGAAATGTTTTTTCCAACAATCAACAATCTCATGCATTTTAAGAACTAAGGGAAATTGCCCAGTCGAATTAGAAATTTGAAACAGAAGCTCAATTTTTTTTCATTGTGGTTCAAGTTACAAATGAAAACTCAATATTTCGCTTTCAGTTTCGAAATATTTAAGCTAAAGTCCAAATTAGGGCACCTTTAACAGGCAACATCTCAATTGAACTCTAAACCTCTCAAGGACCTCTTCTTGTGTAATATGTTGTCGGAACGTCTTATTTATGAAAAGCGCGAATTGAAATAAAAAAATAAATGGACTCGAAACACTCAAAAGCTGGTTAAAAAAATGCGCATTTCTACAACTGTTCTGCTAGAGCAAGCAAGAAAATTGAGGATTGAGGTTTTACATTTTGAACGATTGCAAGTTGAAATGGAAGAATTGAACTACAATCACGAAATGTTAACAATTGAGCAGAAAATCCCTACTTTAAACGGAAAATTGCGATGTTAAAACTCAAAATTTCCACTCGGAATTTCGTTTGCACTTTGCATCGAAGTTAAATCTTAAGAAGTCCTGAACTTTTGGAATGTCGCGAACTACAATTTCCAGTTAATTTACAAGTTTCCGACTTAAAGGTGACTATCACCACTTTCATTTTGTTTAATACTAGTTTGATTTCGAAATTGCTTCTTCTAAAAATTAAACTAAAAACTAGTGGAATTTTAAAAAATTACTCAAAATTTGGTTGAAACTGTTCAAATTGTACTTAAAACTTTGATTTTATCGGAAAACTTTATAATATAAACCCCCATATGTTGCTTAAATCTTTATTTCTTCAAGCCGAACGCGATAAACGTTTGAAATTTTAAACTGAATTTTTAAACTGAAATTTTAACATTACGAGCGTAATCCCAACAAAAAAATTTACTTTTCCTGAATTTGTTATGTTCAAGCTGAAGTCACATGTATCCGATTTCCGATGGCCTGACGATACCACCGGGGTTCTTTTTTGAAGTTTTGAAAAATTTGAAAACCGTTTAGAACGATTAACCATTAATTTTGAGAGCGATATTTGCTAAGCAGAAAAAAATCGGGATTTTGGTAGACTTTGATGAAACTTGCAGGGTCTTTAGAGTGGTGGATCGCCTTAAGGTCCTGAAAATTTCAAAATCCTGTTTGCTGTTGTTCGGAAGGTGAGAATTTTTAAAGGCGAGGACGCAGTGGATTAGAAAAATTTGATATGAGACGACCTGTTAATTCTGCATCCCAGCTGGCCAAAATCAGGAGTTTTGACTATTTTAAAGAAACTTTCAGAATATTTAAAGTCAAGTGTATTTTAAAGATGGCGAGAATTCCGATATGCTACTAGCTTTAGATTGCAAAATGCGAATTAACAAAAAACAACGTGATGGTCTAATTTTCCAATTTTGCAACCCATATTTACCGAGCTGAAAAAAATCAGATTCTAGGGCTATATTTATGAAGCTTTCAGGTTCTTTACAGTTTAAAGTGTCTTCTAAAGATGGTGAAAAATGCAAATTGCTACTTGCTTTAGTATGCAAAATGCGAATTTTTAAAAGAGAAAGCGCAGTGGAGTATATACATTAGTTATAGGCGGAGATTTACTGATTTTGTAACTCATATTTGCCAGGCTGGCAAAAAAAACAGAATTTTGGCTAAATCTAAAAAAACTTTCTGGATGTTTAGAATTAAGAATCTTCTAACGATGAAGAAAATTTCAATTTCTCACTTGCCTTAGGTTGGAAGGTGAAAAATTTTAGAGTGGAAAATACACAGTGGGGTAAAAGGATTTGCTAACGAACGAATTTTTACTAATTTTGCGCCCCATATTTAACTGCTGGCAAAATTCAGCATTTTGCGCTCCCTGTTCGAAACTTTCAGCATCTCTAGAGTTGTCTCATGAAGAGAGTGTTGTCTCATGAATGCTTGTATTAGTTTAAAAATGGCAGGCTATTTAAATATTTTTATCTTATGAGAAAATTGAAAATTATTTTAAATTCTTCGGGAAACAGTAAAAAAAATAAATTTTTCCGAAAACAGAAAAAAGTACAGGAATATTTGTTATGTGATTAATATGATTTAGTAATATATTCGATTTTATATCTGATTTAAAGTAAAGCGTTGAGCGGGTTTATTTTACATCCAGAAAGCCTACGATGAAATAGCAAGCAACAATTATAATAATTCAATATCTAACGTCGCATTGTCGGATCATCGAAAATCGCTGCATGGGACTGCAGTTTAACTATTTGCTACTTAGGTGTGCAACTTTCGTCATAGAAATTTCTATAATATCAAAATTATGGGAAAAATGTGAACATTTTGAATTTGAAATCTTCACTTTAAAACTTTCTTAATGCATGTTTCTTTGTTAGAAATGTTGACATTCAAATTCATGATTTCACTGTTTCGTCGTCATTATGTGCTTTAAATCGAAAAACACAATTTACACTCGATTTATGTGTCAAAAACAAAAAAAATACGAAAATGTTGATTTTCTGAGCTAAAATTGTCTACTTCAGCCTAAAATTTCGGTACGTATTTCGACTGCAACCTTGCACTTTCAGCTTAAACTTAAGTTAAAATTTGCAAAAGAAAAACAGAGAGTTGATAAATGTTGTTCATGTACGCTTGAAATGACACTACCAGTTGAAACCCGAAAGGTTTTGAGATCTAAGTTGAGACTTCAAGTTCATCTTCTTGGCTTCACATTTCCGCTTCAACTCCAGAATATGTATCCACTATATATTTGAATAATCGCTCTCAAACTCCACATAGTTGCTTAAATCTGGGATGAAAACTCGAACATTCCACCTCAAACTCAACCCAAAGCAAAGCGTCTGCTTGCGATTTGTTAAACGTTCTAATTGTCTGCATAATCGGTCCATAATTTAAATAATCGACATGAATTAAGGTCAATTTTTCAAAAACTTAGTCTTCTGCTGTTTAAAACTCTATTAACAGCACGACATTTTACATCAATGGGCTTCAAGTTTATTCCTTCCTAGTTAGCAAACCGCCATCTGTAAAATTCATCACTAATTTGTTTTTTGTATCCATTCCAGATAGGAGACCGACTGTTTGTGGGAGCCCCCGGAAGCTACTACTGGCAAGGTAAAAATCCTCTGACTCGACTGCGATTTGATTTGTTTGCAGGCAATTTTTTTGACGCTTTGTTTTGATCCACCGTTTCCAGGCTTTAGTAGTGTGGCCCTCCTGATGATGAACCCCATCCAAACTGTGTTTTTACTTTATGTTTCAGGGCAAATGTACTCTATCGATGCCAACTCCAGATTTAACTATACACCGGGCCTGCTAGGCACGACGTACGGCGCCAAAGGTATTTCTTAGCTAGCGTCGGACATACATACCATTTTCTAATATGCGCCGCCCAATCACTACTTATTCATTTCTTTGGATGTGGTTTAGTGAGTCGTGGTTTTCTAAAGGACTGTAATCTAGACACTTGAATTCATCCAGATTGTTGGAAAAATCGCCTTCGTCTAGTTGCTTGCTGTTTACTTTTTCTCTGTTCTGTTACTCCCACTGCACACAAATTTGACCATGCACCACGTCTTGTTAAGCCACCCCAGACTAATAAAATAAAAACCAACGACGCAGCATCTTCAACTTATTACCATGTTATACCATTTGGTGTAGGAGTGTTAACTTCCAGGGTGCAGTGTTCTACTAATGGTCATTCTTAATCCAGTACTAAATTTGTTTAGGCTTTCAATAAACATACTAAATTTGATTAATATTTGATTTCAACATGTGCTTTAACATCATGATGTTTTTGCTCCAATCACAAGGGAGCACTTGCTGCTCAACTAGCGGTTAAGGCTAATTAGACAGAATCATCCATTTCTGGGAGATTTCAGTTATTAAATCGATGACCCAGAATTTTGCAGAAAACCATTTATTAACAGATGGTCGATATTACGTGTTGTTTGCCTGCCTACGCAATCGCGTCCACAGTGACCACACACTTTTAATTGTTTCAATGGTTCGCTACTTAAAAGGCGAAATAAAGCCGTACACATTGCCGTTTTTATTAGCTAAAGGTCACCATATTGAGAGTAAGTGTACCCAGTCACAAAAAGCGTTTCACATTTTTAACATTGTCAAAGGCCGGTCGCAAGTCGCTCAAGTGGCACCTACTGGATCTTAGCGTTTGCCTCATATGAAAAATCCGCAAAATCCCTGATCATCCATTAACCATACGTGTGGCAGCCAGTATTTTTAGACACAATTGTTTCTGTTTTACATAAACGAAGCCTAACGAGCGAAATCATCAATTCTCGTTGGCAAAAAGCGGATATTAATCAAGAGCATATTGATAAATGTGCTCAATAAGATTCGTTTATTAAAAATAGCACGTTACAACTATTCGGTATGAGAAACGTTGAGTAATTTTAACAGGAATTCCTGCAGATGGTGTATAATTACAGTTTTTCGACGTTTCCCCGAATTAATATAGTCAATTCATTTTTTACAAACTTCTTTTTGGGTATTTCGCCTCAAAAATTCCAATTAGTAGAGAAATTAATTTGAAAAATTACCTTGACGTTTCGATAGGTATTTTCTGCTATCGTTATCAAAAGAACCTAAATGAACCTAAAAAAGAGTATGTTAATAAATTGTG